AGAAATTGGGGGGATAGCTGAGAAAGGAGCACAGGTTGCAAGATTCTTTCCTGCCCCATCCTAAACTTCCACATGGGGGGGTTGTGAGGTTAAAGAGGGAGATGGAAGACCTTGCAAGCTGCCCTGAGCTATGAGGAAAAGTTCATGATATAAATCAATTCATTAATGCCATCAAGCGTGCAGAGTGTTCCCACCGGGATGTCAAGTTAAAGCAGGGGGGCAGAACGGCATGCCCAGTCCGCTTCCAGCCCGCCCCCTGCTGTCCACCAGCCCTCAGAGGCTCACCATATGGCCATGCCCCCTTTCTCTGGGGCCCAAATTTTTGGGAGGTTCAGCGGGTTTTGTGCTCATTTCTCCCACCTTGACTAAGCAGGGCCACTGCAGAAATCCATAGTGGAGTCAACAGGAATCTGAACTAGTTGGCTGGCTTTCCAGAGTTGTGTGGATTCCACCGAGTTGCTGGGCCTATTGGCGTGTGCGTGTGTGTGTGTGGGGATTAATCAACAGTTCTGCACAAATGTTATGTATACAAAAATATAAACAGAAACCTGACAAAAGCATCCTTTCTCTCCCTACCTTTTCCTTTGTCATGAATGCGCCTGTGCCCGTCCATTCAGTCCCTGAGCCGAGCACAGAATGAAAGGCAGGGCATGCGCCATGAAGCAGAGCGTCCTTCCTGGGGCCTGTGCGGGAGGCTGAGGCGTGCGAATGCCCGGGGGACGTTGCCCTGCCTCTCCCTCTGTCCCCACTTCTCCTTTGCCTGCCATCCCTGAAAGGGGGCTCCGGGGGGAGGGGGGGGCTCTGAAGCAGGGGCCTGCACTGAAGGATTTGGCTCATGGCCCCAACGACCAGCATAGCCCTTGCCATCACAGCTCTCTGCTGATAGCACTCTCTTCTCTGGGAGGAACACAGGACGGCCCTGTCCTTGTGAAACTGGAAGAGCTCCTGGACGCCACACAAGGGCAGCCTGTTCCCTTACGGAAATAGAAAACAAGCCTACGAGTCATCCAGAGATGCAAGTATTCGGGCGCAATCCTACGTATGCTCGGACCAAGAGAAGGCCTGCATTTCCCAGCTGGCCTCAGCCTCCCATGGTGGGATCTCTGGGCCGTTTTCAGCCTAAACCTGCCTAGGATTTCACCTTCAGCCCCTGGAACTCATTTCCCCTGCGTTTCACCAAGTAAGTCCCACAACACCCAGGTTTTTCTAATTCCATATGGGAAGGTAGGTCAAGGGCCATCCCTACAGGACCATTCCCCAGTGGGGCAAGCCCACCATGTGAGTCCTGAAGCCCTTCAGCTCAGGTAGGTGTGTGAGAGATGCCCTGCAGGTGACCTGACACTGCACAGAAGCTCAGCCTGAATTAGAGCAACCTGCACGTGTTCACAGAAAATGACAAGCTGGCTCAAACTATTTGTACCCATGGGGAAAAACAAGGAAAGTTTGCTTCAAGCTCGGTTTGGACTTTGGTTTCAGGTCCAGCTCAGCTCAGGAGCTTTTCTACATGAGGCAATTCTTGGGCACTCCTCATTGCCTGCATGGATTCTTCTGATGACGCCGTCCCTCCCCAGTATCCCTTCTGTGTTTTGAGAGAAACTCCTTGTCCAAAAAATGATTCGGGTTGAACTCATGAGGCGTCTCCCAATACTTGGGATCGTGAAGGACAGAGCACAGGTCTGCAATGATACGGGCCCCCTGCAGGGAAGAAAAGATTTGCTGAGAATGTTCCCAGAAGAGTGCATCTCAGGACTGTTCCTCACCCTCCCAGCACTCTTCACTCAGATCACGCACACTTTTCTCAGAGGAGGCAACTCACTGCAGAGAAGGCATCCAGCAGCCTGTCCCAGCTCAGCTCCTCCCTTGGGCAGAAGATGGCGGTGGTCTCCAGAGCTGGTGAGCCAAGGAGAGAGCATCCCTGAGGTGGGAGGGGCTCGCTGGCGGCCCCAGATTATTTCCCCCTTCCCTTTGACTTTTTCCACAGGCAACAACAGGTTGGCGGTCATGCTGGTGGGGTGATGCCTTCTCCCCAGGACCTGGTTTGCAAACTAGCCTCTGCAAACATCCTTCTTCTGTGAATTGGACACAGCGCTTGCTGCTAAGTTAGCTGCCTTCCTTCAAGGAGAACAAAGTGTGCTTTTCCTGTCCTTTCGCCAATCAGCAGCACGGCAGCAAAGGATGAAATCAAGCTACAAGGGACTGGGCTGACTCTCCTCTCTGCTGTGGGGTGACCCCCCCCCCCAGCAAATTGAGCTGGCAGACCCCTGTTTGGGTGGGAGCTATTGTGCTGCCCAGAAAAGAACTAATTAAGTAGATAAACCAAGTGATGGTTCTTGGTGCTGGGAGACAGGGTGGCAGCTCTGAGTGCATTCCATACCTTGGGAATGGGAATGCCGTTCATGCTCAGAGCCTTGGTACTCTGTCTTGGGAGCCCAAAAAACAAGGGATATTTGGAGCGCAGGATCTCATGAATGACCGCATTGGTGTAGGGCAGTTTCCTTTTATCTTCATAGCAGACAGAGCAGGAAGAACCAAAAACATCTTGGATCTCCTTGTGGACTTTCTCTGCACAAGAGCAAGGAAAGAGAAGCTTCATTTTTGGCATGATTTTTCCCTAGACCTGCAGGAGTGTCCCCCTCTGTGGCTTTAGCCCCCTGTTGCGAGGAGCGGGGGCTGAGGCTGCAGCAGGACTCCCCCCCTCCTGCCGGAGCCTCGCTCCCTGTCCACCAACCCATGCAATGCCTGTAGCTCCAGCCCCAGTGGGGCTCTTGCACTGCTGGACCCCAGCCAGTGCGGAGAGGACTGCTCCAAGGGTGGGGCACGGGGGAAAGACAAGGGGTGCTGCGGGGTCAGAGTCCTGCTCTGAGCTCACGAGGCAGGACAGGGGAGCTTTCGGGCAAACAAAGATGCTCAAGGTAAATATTATGCCTCCAACTCTTTATGTTTTCTTATTTGCATCACATTTATATCCAGCTTTTGTAGGAAGAATTCATGTATGTATATTTGACAGATGTTTTCAAAACATCAACTGTCTTTCCATAATTTGGGGGAGGGGGCACCTGTGTTTGCACAATAACCTCCAGAAAGGGGTGCAATTTCCAATTAAGGATGGTGGGTTTTGCTTGTTTATTTCCTGACTTGCACTAATTTTGGCCTTCAGTCCAAGAATCTTCTTCTCCAGGCTTTCTAAATGGGCAGCTTTAGGTTCCAGGCATACCAGAAGAGAAAGGTTCCTCTCACAGTTGGGCAAATGGTGTAAGATCCGGATCAAGAACAAACCGAGATAGCTTTCCCGGACATCCCTCCTCAGCACTGGAAGGCCACGAGCTTCCTCCTGATGTGCTTCTTCCGTTGCTTCTAACCACTACCTGGCTTTCTTCTGAAGGGGGAAACGAGATGCTTGTGGGTCCCTGAAACCAAAGCAGCTCCATGTACTCCACAGCTGCACCAGTCCGCCTGGCCGGTTATGGGTTGGGGGCGTGGCTATGAGGTCAGCAGTACCTACTTACGGCAGGAGGAATGTGCCCTGGCCACACCCCCTCAGTTGCAAAGGCTGAAGCCAACTGGCAGATGGGGATGGAATGCCCAGTGGTCCCAGCCTACTGTTCATGGCTGCTGGGGCCAGAAGGCAGGGAAATGGCGGCTGTTCCGAGCTATGCAACCGCCCATGTGAGGCATGTGTGGTGATCCAGGCAGGTCAAGTGCAGACGGTCTTTGTGGGAGAAGCATTAGCCTTTCAGTGGAGAGAGGTGCAACTTCTAAGGTGGAGCAAAAGCAGAGCACCAGGGAAAGTCAGGGTGGTGGAATAAGGGCACAGACACAGGAAGTGTGTGCCCACAAAGGTTCACGCAGGGACACACCCAAGTGGGCGGAGAAAAGCTGGCTGTGCTGTGGCTCTCTTACAGTATCCATGCTCCATCCACCAATGAAAATGGTAGACAGCAGAAAAAGAGAGGGAGAGAACCCTGCTGCATAAAGAGCCCCTCGGAATCTGCAGCCATTCCAGCAGCAGTTCATATGGTATTACAAATATGGTACAGGAGAGAGAGAGAGCACAGTCCAGTGGTCTGACACCAGGGAAGCAGTCACATAAAAGCAGTCCAGATGAGAGGGGGCTGGAGCAGGCCAGGAACAACAGGAGCACACAAGCACATGACAGGAGCAGGCCTGGAGCAGACTGGGGCACATAGGATCAGACAGGAGCAAGGCAGGAACAGGCTGGAGTGAGGCAGGGCAGAAGCCACCCGAGCAGGCACAGCTCAGAGATATGGGGCCAGAGCACAGAGTCACCAGGAAAACTTGTGCCGCTGTGGCAAAGAGCATCAGTGTCAGGAAGTCGTTCAGGCTGGTCTCTGGAGCCTCAGGCCGCACTGCGAGTTTGCTCCTCAGGTGTTCTTTGCAGGTGCCTGCAAGGTGCTCCTGGTTCTGCTGGCACTTGCGGGGTCGCTCAGGCCCTCCTCCTGACAGAGTATTTTCTCTCACTCTTTCTTTTCTTTTCCTTTTGCTTTTCCGTCGGGGCACACAAACGCATTTTCCTTTCTCCAATTTTCCAGGAAAAATAAGGCGTTGTAAAGCCTTTTTTTGGTTATGTATTTTTCCATGCTTAGTTCAGGATGGGTGCTGGCGCTGAAGGATGCCCTGGCCTGTGGCTGGGCTGCCTGACCGACGGCCCTCTCCTGCAGGGAGCTCCTCACGAACACCCTGCTTTGCTTCCTGTCACCACCAGGTGGCAGACGTTATTCCAGAACCACTGGTGGGGATCCTGGGCGATCGCAGGCAAGCCATTCTCCTTTGCCTCTGTCACCTGATAGACCAGGGGGTCAGTCCTGGAGGCTCAAACCCAATTGCACTCCTAGCCATTCCTCGCATCAAAAGAGGCCTCCATAGGCACATCTGTGACTGCGTAAGAGTTTATTTTTTTCCCAACACATACACTTACATAGAAAAAATACAGAACACAGGAAAACCTAACGTGAACAAAACAGACTAAAGTGAACAAAATAAAGTTGCCAAGGGAATTACAAACAACACAGCCCATATACTGCAGGCCCCAGAACCAACTCTTTTTGGCAAATTCTCATAGAGCATGGGAAGATATCTTCCCATGCTCTATGAGAATTTGCAAAAAAGAAAAAAGATTCATTATTCTATACATCAAAAGATTTTCTAACCAAATCTATTGCTTTCCTTTTCCCCTTCCAAACTCCCCTGGAATTCCATTAATCATGCTAAGCACAGTAAAATGTCCCTTTGTCGTTACATTCCTCTAATGGTCTTCTATTTACATAATTTGTTAGCTTTGCAATCGCTGCATATTCTGCTAAACTATTTCTCCATTCCTCAATGGTTGGGGGCTCTGATGATTTGGTAGGAGTTTCCGCAAGAGGCAGATGAACTGCCTACCAGCAGATAGGTATAATCAGAACACAGTATTAGAGATCAAAGGGTTTGCACAGAATGTTTGGCCTTTGAAATACCATGGGCAGTACAACACCTTCTAAAACAACTTTGGCACGTGGTTCAGGACATACCCAATGGCCAGTTCCTCACTTCCATGGCTATCGAGAGTGACACAGGGATGTGTTGCCCTCTAGTGCCCATGCTGAGAATAGCTCCGCACATTTCAAACGCAGTATTGCTTATCTAGCCTCCAGGCATCGGAACTGAGACATTTTAAGACCCACAAAGTAATGGAATCTTCCATTTGAATCATTCTGGGGTGCTTTAAATCCACTTATATCTTTTATGTTATCCTGCCTCCATACAATTTTCTCTACGTAGGACAGTCTGCTAGAGCATGAGGCCCAGGATTACTGAACAGAGAAATAAGACTAAAAATAGAGAAAGCCCTTGTCTGTTGGGACAGGGAAAGTTCCTCTGGACTGTTTGAATGAGATAATTCAGAATGGGAGCATACCAGAGCTCTATCTAGAACCACTGGTGGTGGTTGTTCTTTTGTAATATACACCTTTTATAAATGATGTGTTTCATACTCAGAGTTAGCAAATAAACATCAAATGATATTTCTACAAATACTTTCAGGTGCTTGTGCTTCTCGTTCATTTTTATTTTCCTAAATGCAACATAGAGGCTTATTACATAAATAACTGTCTACCATTAATTCTTCAGTATATGATTAGGGTTACATTTTTGTCCCATCTCTCTTCCAAAGAGATCAGTACATTACACATGGTCTCCTCTGAGCCACATGCCTTTAATCCTCATGATAGTTGGGATCTGTGGTCCAATAGTTAAGATTGAGGCACTAAGCCCAATACTCTAACTAGTAGGATGAGAGTTTCAGAATGCTGAAAGGGAACATTGGTCTTTGGAGACCCAGTGGCTGAGTAGGAAAGAAGAAAAAAACTGCTCATGATATCAAAGAAACTTCCTGCAAATGTTAAGTCAAATTCAACATCTTCAGCAAATTTCTGGAATTTTTCATCTGGAAAAATTCAGAGTCTGAATGTCAGAGCGCATCTCACATTGGATACTGAATTGGTGATGGACAATAGCGGGTCGAGTGATTGCCCAGGAAATGAAATTATATTAATATTAATCCAACCTCTCCTGTTAACACTGAGAGTGGAAAAAATGGCTACCTCTGCCCATTTTTCTGCTTCCTGGAAATCAAACTAAATACATGCAATTCCACTCCAAAATGCACAGAGTATAAAAGGATTTCTGCAGATTGTAGAGGTGCGTTGTGACCTTTTCCCCCAATAACAACGTCGAGTTAGTTCCATTCCGTTCCACTGCTCCCACTTTCTCTCCAACTAACAAAACAAGAGAAGCTGGGATCACAGCTGCCCCTTTTGCAACACGTTTAAACTTGTGCTGGAGAAGAAGTAATAAGGGAGTGTTTCTTTTTGAAGTTGACGGGTTAGGATCATGCCAATTATGGATGTTGAAAAGAGACTTCTCATATTCACTTACCAGCTCAGGGACAAATTGTCCATGTCAAAATGGTTCCTTTTTAGGATCAGACTGACTTCCTTCCCTCTAGAAAACAGACCCTCCTGGACAGGGCCCCCACCCATCTGATCCCGTTTGGGAAGGGGAAGAACTGCCCCAACGTGTCCCCCATGGAGTTTGTGGCTAGCCCCATACTGGCTGCTGTGGGGCCTGGCTAATCCAAAGAGAGGTGTGGGGTGCAGGCGGAGACTAGACCCTGGGAGGGAGGGAAATTACCAGCCAAGGCGAGAGGGGAGAGAAGGAGAGAGTCCAGACGCGGGATACTAGATGCTCGGCATGGGAAATGGTGGTGAAGTGGTAAGGCAGGGAAGAGGAAGCAAGCACAAGGCTGGAGGCTCGGAGTGGAGAGCAGTGGGAAGAAGGCGGCCAGATGGCGGGGGAACGGCGAGGCCATAGGAGGAGGGTGAAGGCGAGCGATGGGGATAGGGCAGGAATAGTGAGGATAATTCTTGGCAGCATCATGCAGGGGCATGCGAGCTTCTGCAGCACCTGAGCAAGAGGAGGAGACTGCAGACCCACCTCTGGTCCAAAGGGCTGGAGCAACGGAGCCCAGGAGCCCGCCCTGTTGACAGCGCATGGCCTGCCAGCGAACGGCAGAGCATCGATCCCGATGTTGCGGAGGGTGAGCGCAGGCAGGAGTTCGCTGGGCTGCTGCTGACAGCAGGGGGCACGGCAGGGGGCTGCTGGAGGGCAGGACAGCCTGCCGTGGGGCTTGCATGGCACCCCCTTGTCGAGCCTCAGGTGTCATGGAGGGGGCAGCTTTGCCCCCATGCTGAAAGGAGATTCAGCCATTTCCGTGTATGGAGTATGGGGGAAACAGTCTGGCCACAAAATGCTTCCTCATTCCCTGTGCATTGAGAAAGATCATTTTCTCCTGCTTCTTCCTTGTCAGGGGATAGATGAGTCAGTTTCCGTTCAGTGGGAGTGGCGTGTTGCCCTTTGGCAGGCAGCCTTTGTACTCATTGTTGCAAAAGCTGCACGAGAAATACTCACAACATCCGCCGAGAGAAAGGCAGAGCTCCTTTTGCTGGGTTCCCTCCACGGACCGTCTGGCTTGGCCGGCTGCAGAGGGTGAAGATGCTGCGGCACTTACTTTCCGCGCTCCAGGAGGGCTTGTCTCTCCCCGTGGTTCTGGTGTTCCTGGCTACCTTCCTGCTCCTTGCCGACTACCTGAAAGGGAGGCGCCCGAGGGGGTTTCCTCCGGGTCCCGTGCGTCTCCCCTTCCTGGGGAATCTTCTGCATGTTAGTGCCAGGAAGTCTTTTTCTGATATAGAGAAGGTAAGGATCGGGGCCAGTTGGAGGGACAAGGGCTGCAAGGAAACAGGTATAGACACCGCAGTTTCCAAAGGTTTAAACGTGCTGGAAGAGCTTGGGAGGAGTGGTCTGGGACACAAATCCTCCAGGACAAGTGGGAGGAACTGGGCACCTTTACTCTGAAGAAAAGAAGGCTGAGGGGCAACTGGACAGCGCTCTTCAGATGCTCTCTGCTGCCCCCAAGGGAACTGTGGGGACCTTTAGAAAAGCCTTCCCAGCCTCATGGGCTTCCAGTGCAGGATACGGGGCTTCAGTGGGACTTCAGGAGGGAGGTCTTGACGGCAAGATTGTTTGACAATGGAGGCAATTTCCCGGGGGGCAGTCAGGTGGACTCTCCATCCCGGTGGCTTCAGCAGAGCCTGGATCCATCTGCTGTGGGTTTGGCTCTGTCATTCCAGCATTTTTCCCTCCCGTTCAGTGCAATACAAGAGTGGAACCAGTTGCCTAGACAGCTCTCCCACACTAGAGGCATTCAAAAAGCATCTGGACAGTCATCTGGGTGAGATGGTATAAACTGGCATCCTGCAACAGCAGGGAGTTGAACATGATGGGATTCCTGGCCCCTTCCAGCTCTAGTATTCTATGATTCTCTGACTACATTGGCACAGCAAACATTTGAGTAATGATTAACTTGAAGGCAGAAAGAGTTGGATTCAGAAAGAAGTTTGACGCGTGCAGGCAGGAGCAGAGGGCACCAAGCCCGGCTCTGCCCGTGTGCCCTTCCAGCACCAGAATGACCGAGCCAAGAGAAACTGCCAAGAGTGAACAATCCAATACTCAAGAGTAAGTGGGGTGCACAATCAAAGGAACGTCTGCAGGTTGTTCTCCCAAACGGGAAATACGTGCAACATGTTGGCAGCCCCCAAAGGGGCTTCAAAGATGGAGTGTATACAAGATGCTTTTATAACCTATCAGTTGCATACAGCTTGGGAAAGTTTGGAGATCGGGTACACAGCATGCTGGAGGCATATGAGGATGAAGCAATAGGGGATGAACACAACAGACAAGAGAAGAACCTTCAAGGAGATTGAGACATTAGCATGTCTAAGGAATGCCCCAAAGGACCGGCTTCTCAGGACAGGGACACGAGCATTTCTGCATTTCTAAGGTGTACGTGGGAAGCAAGACTCACATCCTAATCAGGTCAGGAATCCCATCTGAGGTCTTCAACTGTTCATACAGTGCCAGCCTTTCAGCAGCCATATAAGGGCCAAACCTCTGCGCTTTTGCCCTGACAAAACCAACCAAATAACATTTATTTTCAGTGATTCTTTCTTAGCCTTTAAAATATATGGCAAAGAAGTGATATTGATCAACAAAACATGGCATCTGTTGGTGCTGTTTTATGGGTTGTTCAAGTGAACAAGAGAAGCAGTTCCTCGATAGTGCCAAGTACAGGAAACAGCAGCAGATTCCCCGCGCCCCACACAAATGGTTCTCCTCGTCCACTCGATGTCCCCCATTCTGGGGCAAAGCTCTAAGGCCACAGATGGCAAGGACAGAAGATCCTCGGGGAGCACCAACCAATTTATCCAAATTCAGTACACAATTACATTAACCGATCAGCAGTTTGACAGATGAACCTGGAATGCATCTAGTCTTGTCTACTTTTCCCATTTCAGCTTAGAGAAAAATATGGCAACGTCCTCAGCCTGCAGCTTGCAAGCATGCAGTTTGTGGTTGTGAGTGGGCTGCCGCTGGTGAAGGAAGTCCTTGTCCATCAGGGTGAAAATTTTGTAGATCGTCCAGAATTGCCTTTTACACGTGAAGTCTTTGGGTCATATGGTGAGTTTCTTTTCATAAAGTTCCATTGCTTGCTTGCTTGCTTGCTTGCTTGCTTGCTTGCTTGCTTGCTTGCTTGTTTTTAAAAGGTGTGCACACATTATGTGATTCTGTGAAATAGCCTTCTCAGCCTCATGCTGCGGCAATATGCTGGATTACAACTCCCACCTCCCCTGCTGATACAGCCTGCCACCTGGGGATGATGTGAGTTGTAACCTAACACAACTGGCTGCTACCGTGTTCCGAAAACGGGTTTAGATGTTTTCACAAGTTCTCAATGGATGCTTCAGTGTTGCATTTCCACTATTGATAGTGGAAATGTAACTACCTGGGACCCAAGGGTGTGTTTCAGACAAAGCTTCTGCTGGCCATGGTCCCAGATCAGCATACTAATTGAGCAAGGTGTAGTTACTGGACAGGTGGAAGATTGCGCTAGCTGAGCAAATGGGTTCTCTGGCATATGTGCTGAGCTTCGCCTGTTTATCTCACCTGCTTCTGAAGACGGAAGAGCTTCCTGACTAACACAGAGAAGCTACCTATCCTGCCAGGTGGACCCCTGACGGCTGTCCCTTCTGGGAGCAGGATGGGTGGGAGGTGCCCACGGACTGGAGTGCCCAACCTGTGCGCAGAGCTGACCTCCATTGCAGCAGCACTTGTATCCCTCCCATCCTCTGATCCCTGATCTTTATACTGTTTCTCTGTTTATTTGCCATTGTGCCAATAATTAGACTTGTGCTAATTGTTGGGTGGGTGCCAGATCACTTCTGATACCTTAACTATTGTTTCTATGGGTAAAAAGTTGAGTTCATCTGCTACAGACGAGACTTGGAAGAGCAGCAAGAAGGAACGACAAATGATACCTGGTTACCTGAAGGAGCGCTTACATCCATATATGCCCGACCGCCCCTTGAGATCTGCGGGAGAGGCCCTTCTCTGGGAACCCTCCGTGAAAAAAATTAGGAGGGTATGTACTCGGAGGAGGGCTTTCTCAGCGGTGGCGCCTAAGTTATGGAATGCGCTCCCCAGAGAGGTCCGCCTGGCGCTGTCGTTATTTGTTTTTCGGCGCCAGGTGAAGACCTTTTTATTTAAACGTCATTTTAATTGTTAACAACATTTACTTATTTATCTGGCCAGGGCGACTTCTTTTCTTTTCTTTTATAACTTCTTTTATATCATTTATATTTTTTATTTATTTTATATTATTAATTTTAATTTTATATTGTTATTTTTTATATTGTATTGTATTGTGTTGTAAGCCGCCCTGAGGCTTCGGCAAGGGGCGGCATAGAAAT